GTCGTCCGCATTGATCCGTATGTCGTCTTCGTTGACAATCATTACTTCCAATCGATTGCTTTCCATCTCATTGTCGACCGCATTGTCTGCACGAATACAACACAAAAGCCATTAATTGATTGCAAAAACACATTATTATTGGCATTGAATACCGGGTTTGGGTTTCGCTGTGCCATCGCTTCCATCGGTTCCATCGCTCGCAGGAGTTGTCTCTCTATCGGTCTTATGGTCAGCAGTGGTGGTCTCGTCTGCAACCGATCTAAGCGTCTGTGGATTGTGTGTCGCGTTGTCTGTGGTGTGAATGAAGTGGTCGTTGGCGTCGAAGAACTCATCCAATTCTTCTGAAGACATGGTTTGCGAGTATTTGCGGCACAAATAGTGAGTCAGAGATGACTCGAAACGACGCAAACCTCCGAACGAATAGTCATTGCATTCGAAACCAATTGAATTGAGCGCTCGTTTGGGCCAAAGTGTGAGCGCTATTCGCGACAACCAATGAGCGAACGCTTCGAACGACGCATACATTACGTGCAGTCAATGCGCGACTCATTGGCATTGAATGGAACGCCAGTCGAGTGCTGAGAGTCGAGACGTAATTAGTGTCCAAACAGTGGTACGAGTCGTGCGATTGAAGACGTATTGCGAAACTGAATGTGAATTTGATTTGATTTTACGCTTTGTTTTGAATTGCATTTCATTTGCGAATGCATTGAGTGTTGAGAGGAAGTGATCACTACTTCATTCACAACACATTGTCTTCGCAGCCCTTTTGAGACCACAAATGACTTTAGGTTTGCATAAAAGTCACGTCTTTTACGCCAATAATAAGAGAGAGTCACTGAAGAGACCGTTTGATGGCATGAATGGCATGACCGGCGCTGAAGACACCATCGGCTCAGACAATCACTTCCACAACAACAACAGGTCTTGAGATTAGACATGACTTTGAATGACTGAATGCAATGTTTTTGTTTGAATCAAACAGTTATGAGTCGTTTATACCACCGAAACGACCGCGAAATACATTGACCGCCGAAGACAACGCTTCCGCTATAATAAGTGAGCCATCGATTGATTTGATTAACAATTGTTTGATTGAATTAATGTCTTCACTATTAGACACACAACGAAATCAATCAGTTATTGCGAAAGGAGTGACAATAATGAAAGACTTTTGGGGAAACCTTTTCCCTAACAAATCAGAGCCACGAGTGATGCCATCGGAGGCCACCCCTCACTCCTCCCATCAGTCAAACCAATTGTTGTCCGAAAGCAATACAATCGCAACCGATGTCTACAATCGGCGCGAGATTAACGCGAGTGACCCGTTCTCGACAAGACAAGCGTTTGGCGACACTCGTGGCCACTCCTCGACGGTTACCTCTTTTCGAGACAACAGATCCCATAAGAAAAGCGGTCGTCTTTTTAATTCATTTCGTATATCAGAGAAGAATCAATACAAACGTCTTTTGGACACTCATTTGGGACCCAAATTCAAATTTCTAAAGCCCAAGAAAGCGGTCAACAGACCCCATATTGTGGTCGATTTGACACAAACAATGTCATCGAAATCTGATTACAGGAGCTTTGAAACTCCACAAACGACTCCATTCTCTGTGGAGGTATTGGACACGAAAGCGAAGACATGTTTAATCGATAGAATCAAAAGCCATGGAATCGCTGCCAATCCTACCATTCGTTTGAACACAACTAATGAAACGCCTTTCGGTGTGAAAGGCTATCAGTTTTCATATCCATCGTATTCGACCCCAAAGTCGACTCTCTTTACCAAAAGTGAATCCCAAAAGAGTTATTCATTTCAATCATCACAAACGCCACATCCGTTGCCCGAAACGAGTGTACACTTCAATGCGTTAACGAAACAGAATAAGAATCTATTGGATAGTAAATGGATTGAAGACATGAAGAACAGCTTAAATGCCGACACAGAGAGACACGAAAGAGATATAACGAAATCTGAACAAAATAGGGATCAAATGAAAGCCAAACGAGAGAAAGACGAGAGACTGTTGAGTCCTCTGCTTCTGAAACCCATCACACGAACAGAACTCAATCCATTCACACCTTATATCCATATTAATACCACTTTTGACAGCGAAGAAGTGGAAGAAGAGGATGAGGACGAAGAGAGCGCACCCATCGATATGCCACAACTCACACCAGAAATGGACAATGAAATTGATAATGCGTTAGACAGCGGCAAAAATGTACTTCTCGTTAAACACGAGACATACGGCGAGATATACGGCAAAGACATACTCACTCTTAAAGGACTCAATTGGCTTAACGACGAGGTTTTACATGAATTTATTGAAAATACATATTTATTATTAATATTGAATTTGTTGACAGATTATCAACTTTTACATGAGTCTCATCGTCGAGAGGGGCAAAAACGACAACTTCAGGACAGTTCACGCTTTCAA